CCTCGACCTTGTAGTTAGTTGTATTTCGATATTGAAAGTGAGTGGGCCTTGAATTCGGACCGCAATTGTTTGTTCTTCTCCATCTTAAATTACTCCCCCTCGATGGTAACTTGATCACATCGGTCCGGTTAATGCGTGTTGGTTGTTTGTTTTTTTTTTAATAGAATATCCTTTCATCCGACTTCCAGTAAAACGGAAGTCGGATATGCTAAGTGTTCGGTTTCTGCGATCGGGTTACCATTGCGTGAAACACTTTCCGGTCATAAGTCGTTTCACAAAAAAAAATTAAATTATACAAACCATCGACGAAGAAAAAACTACCACTCAGTTCCCATGCTTTATAATGTTTACAGGAACAATGTCATTGATCTCCTGTTTGTTTACGTCTTTCCCAGATAGCAGGTTGCGCAGCATCTTTAACAGATTTTTCTTCCGTCTGCGGGAATCCTAATCGAATTTTAGATTTTTCCATTCATAACTCGACCAGCTGCCTGGTATAAAAGAAAATCCTTTTTTTTCTTAACAAAAGCCCACGAAAACATCGCTCGAAAAGTTTCAATATTTTTGCGATTGATGCAATATTTGCTCTGGATAAACATTAGCTCTACCATATTTGCTCTACTCCCCATATTTTTTTTTTAATATTTCGTGTAATAAATAACTGAATTTTTTTTTTGTAGCCCTGTTTGCGCAGCTAATACACAACACACCATAATTATCTTTTTGAACCCTTCCGCAGTTGAAATTAATGATCCAAGCAACAATAACAAACAACAACACGGTCGTAAAATAATTGCCGTATTCGTTACGTGCGAGGGCTTTTTGCCCTTTTCGAAAACGAAAAAAAAAAGTGTGACATTATATCATATAGTTTCGAGTTAATTTGTCAAAAAAAAATAAATTTCACGCCACGACGATTTTTATTGTTTAACAAAAAAAATATTAGATTTACTAATAGTTGTTTTTTTTTTTCAATTTTGTAACGTAAACCTTGGCTACTATTAGAAATCCATTAGGGTTTTTTTTTTTGAATTTATGTGGGTAAAGTGTAAAATATTCACCCCTCGTCCCATGAATATGTATCGGTTAAGGATTTATTTTCAGGAATCCCATTGTCCGAGCATATTTCAGTTTTTCTTGAATACAGAATCCCACGCAAAAGGGCGCCAATATCGTTGTTCAATGATCATTTCGTATAAATCAGAGGTTTGTTAGCAGCAGATAGAAAATGGCAATTGAATATGAAAATGGGGAGAGAGAAAGATTCCTTCCCTTAATATTATTACATCTGACCCCTCCTGCTTGATAGGAAGTCGTAAGTCTCAGTCTTCTCGTTGTTATAAAGGACATAAATTATTCCCATAACAATGACTTCTTCCGAATTGGAACACCTTTTTTTTTTGGTTCGTACTAATAGGTAGGCGCGTTTTTACGTAATTCACGTATTTGGGAATCTCTCAATTTCTGTTTTTTTTTTTTTGGTTAGGGTACATTTTTACGTAATTTATGAATTTTGTAAATCTTTCAATTTCATTTATCTGAAAAGGCGAGTCTCAGTCTTCTCGTTGTTATAAAAGACATAAATTATTCCCGTAACAATGACTTGTTCAGAATTGGAACACCTTTTTTTTGCGCGTTTTTACGTAATTCACGTATTTGGGAATCTCTCAATTTCTGTTTTTTGTTAAGGGTACATTTTTACGTCATTTATCTGAAAATGCGAATGTTTATATTTCTGTTTAATCTGTATCTGTTAATTTTAACGCTTTCATATGTTAATTGATTGTAAATATTGTTGTGCGGTTTAATCCTTTTTATTTTTTTCATTCATTCACTTCTGAATCGGTGGTGTTTGGAAAGGGACCGGTCGTAAGTATTGTTGTGAGATCCTAATCCGTTTTGATAAAGGGCCGTCGATAATTTCCCTTCCGTTGACAATGCGCAGCTCCGTTGACTCCCGGTTCCGGAATCATTGTTTATGGTGTAGATTAGATGAGGAATTGCGAGGGATAAACGATACTCGAAGTGTAGATAAATTAAAGGGATTGATCCTGATTGTTATGGTGATTTCGGACGCGGATTTCGGTTACGGTTATTAAAGCTGATTAGAGGCTCTGAAGAGTGAGTTTTGAGAGAGAAAAAGAGAGAGTTTGGTCTTTGATCCTGGATATTTGCGGTGGAGGCAGGTGCAGCTTCCTATACTATTAACAGCTGGTGCCCGGAGACGGAAACGTTTCCGTCTCCGGGCGATCCTCCTTCTCGTGCTCCACCTATGTTTGGCTTTCTTTCAGAAGGTTGCACCTCCTGGTGTTTGTCTGTAATATGCGTGATCCGCATTTATTCTCCCCGAGCGTCGCGCGTAACTCATAATTATTTCGAGCACGTGGTTTATCTTGTTGTTGCTGCTGCGTTTTACCAGCAAACAGCCTTTTGTTCGCAGAAGAATGTGGAATCTTATTACCGCCGCTCAGCGCGCGATACGCTTTAATACGTGCGATTTAATTTTAGGCGTTATGGAAAAGGGCTTACATGCGTATATACAACCCTTCCTTTCCCACTGCGAGAAAAAGGTAATTTAAATTAATTTACCTCTTACTACCTGCGAAAGTAATTTATTTTGGGGCCACCTCCTCGAGTTGTTTTAGCTTGACTGCACCTAGTCATAGGTGACTGGATGTAGCAGCACCCCAAGGGTCAAAAGACTCTGAGCGCATATCTTTCGCCGTTTTTTTTTTCTTTCCCTTTGATGGATTGCTTCCAAGCACCATCTGCCCACCTATTATGCGATTTTAAGTCGCAATCTCTGGAAACCCCTTTTTTTCCACACTCAGGACATCTTCATTTTCAACGAGAGAGGACATCTGTCAATTGGCTTCTTCTACATAAGAGAAGATGCCTTTAAGCTTTTTTTTTTCTTCCAATCCTCATCATGTTTAGCTTATCGGAAATTGGAGCGTAGGTTGTCTTCTGGGACAATGGGGTGCCCGTTTTGTTGCGGGCAGCTGTCTTCAGAGAGAGGTACAAGAGAGGACAAGTGGAGCATAACTAAGCAACAAATCGCCGATTGTGCGCTTCTATCTATCTATCCGTCTCGCTTCTTCCATCTGCCCCAGTTTTCGTCCACCGAAAAATTGTTGGAATAGAAACGAACGGTATCGTCGTTAATTTGATTTCACGAAATCCTGTCACGTACAGAGGAGAGGAGAGCTTCGATTTTCTGGGCCAAAAGGAAGTCCATCGCCGCGCTATCAACGTTATGTAATTTCGGTTTTAGAAGTCTGTTATTACGCGGATAACATCTCTTCGCGGAGGAGACCATCTGCTACCGCTGTTGGTACAACTAAGTACGCTTACTTACGGCGCAGTGCATAACATTTAGATCTTGTCTTGAATGCGCTTAGTAACGGTTGTAATTTTCGTTTTCCTCTTTGCCTCGCGCTCGACGTTAAACTTCTTGCAAAGGCAATCCACTTTTTTTTTCTCTCGTTTCCTTTAATTCACACCTCGTACGGGAATTGATTTCCATTCGCATCTGATTGATACAATAATCTCCTTTTGACTCATGCATATTACAAACATTTGTTTTTAAACAATAAACCTTGCAATTGATTACATTATAAATACAAGTATTATCGTTATTGAAGAAATAATCAAAAGTGAGTAAGAGTGAAATGATTGAAAGTACAATAGAAATTCACATCGAATTAAAAAAACAATTAACAGATGATTTATTAATATGAAAACTTTAACAATTGTTGTAATTCTTGAAATGATTGTAGTTGGAAATGTTGTTTATTTAGGAATGGTTTCCTCGTATATCGATTTTGTTAAATATTTGATCAAATTACCATTACTTATATGTTTCTTTTTTTCTGTGCGTGTTTCAGACTCTTTTGTGAATAGTCAGGAATGGACGTTATCCCGATCTGTGCCGGACGTGAGGCTGGGAATAGTGGGTTCCCTGTCCTCTGGGAAGTCCGCCCTGGTGCATAGGTACCTCACCGGTTCCTACATGCAGGAGGAGTCCCCAGAGGGTGGCAGGTTCAAGAAGGAGATCCTGGTAGATAACCAGAGCTATCTGCTGCTGATTAGGGACGAGGGTGGAACCCCGGAATTGCAGGTAAGCAATCCATTTCTTTAAATCGTCGCGTGTTCATGCCCATTAAAAAGATAATTCTCGTGCTTTGGTGGAGGTGCGTAAATGTAAATGAATCGCGTGTTAAGGCGTCGCGACACTCGTTATCATCCCTACGTTGTGCTGGATTCAGTGGCGCCCACGCACTATGTATGGGGGAGATCCGAAGGACGAAAACAACGTCGTAGCATGTTTATTGCTCTTTCGATGCGATCTCCTCTCCCTCGTATTACGAGCAGACAATGAACCCTCCCTCGAAAATGCACCCTAAATATAGATGGTTTGAAAACAAAGTCGTTTCTCTATTTCTGGAATTATATTGATTGCATTGCCATGTACGAATGCATTACTATTGTTTTTTGTTTCGTGGATTGCTTTATATTTTGTTGTATCCATCGATGTTTGTGTGTGTTGTCTGGTTGTGCGTCGTTCTGGGAGGGTTTTTGTGCATCGATTGCAAAATGGAAAGAGAGGAGAAGCGTCGCGACGCGCGAAGGGCCGACGTAGGGAGAGATGGATAAGTGGCGTCGCGGCGCGCCGCTCTCGGAGCCAGTGCATTTCCCGCCGTTGTAACGGCTAGCACGCACCTACGTAAGCTCCTGCAATTTCCTTATAGCCTTCGTTCTTCTCTGTGTGTGCGTCTTTTCTTTACGTATAATAAATATACAAGGGGTGGTTGCAAATAATCCAGTTTCATTTTGACGCGCTTCACCCCTCGTGCATGCACCGTATAAATCTTTCTCTTTTTTTAATTTGGGGACTGACTGCTACTGCTACCCCTCGGGTTTCTTAGGTAGAGCGGGTTTCTGGTTTATTCGAAACGTTTCTTCTTACTTCGTTCGGTCGCGTTTCCATTACCAAAGTTTTTCCATTCTAATTTCGCTCGCAACAATAAAAGGTATATAAGTATGCATTTTGCAAACTCGATACTTCCTTCGAATCTAGGTGTTTTTCAAATACAAAAGAAGTCCATTTGATATCGCCGCTCGGTGTAACGCGAAACGCACGCCACGATGATAACTCACTTTGCTTCTCTTTTGCCTTACGACCACTTTCTACGCTTTCCAACTTTCACGTCAGCTTTGATAAATAAACCTTTTGGAAAAAGCGAATTATCATCGATTTCAATCGCACTGCATACGTAGACTTAATTAACGTTGATTGTCACGTACAGCGTTTCCGTTTTAATCGAATCAACCGGAGCCTGCATGCAATTAAACTCAATTCATACCTGATTTTCGTATGTTTTTTTTTACTTATTTTGTTATTAATTTTCAGTTTACTGCCTGGGTGGACGCGGTCATCTTCGTGTTCAGTTTGGAGAACGAGAACTCCTTTAACGCGATCTACAACTACTACACGAAGATGTCTCACTACAGGAACGTAGCCGAGATACCTTTAATTCTGGTCGGCACTCAAGGTAAATTCTAAAGCTTTTCTATAGAGATGATATTTATATTTATATTGATGTTATTTCATCCTTCCTCTCTAATCGATATTTATTTTCAGATGCGATCAGCGAGAACAATCCGCGGGTCATAGACGAGTCTCGGGCTCGCAAATTGGCCAACGACCTGAAGAGGTGTTCGTATTACGAAACCTGCGCCACATATGGTCTGAACGTCGAGCGGGTCTTTCAAGACGGTGAGTGCATGAGTCATTTGGACACCCACTCCTCCGGCTATGCTGGAATCGAAAATCCAATTTGATAATAACCACTACACAAATACAAAAAAATTGCATGTGGGTTGTCGCACAGTAATAACGAGATTATTTTTGGTTCACAGCTTGCCAGAAGATCGTGCAGCAGAGGTTGTCCACGTCCGCCACCTGCTTGACCCCAACTAATTCGAGGCCCTCGACGCCGAATTTCCATCCTCCCGGTGGTCCTCTAACAGTTCCCAGACATTTGACCACCAGCAACAACGGATTCTCGACGCAACAACAGAATCCGAACCATATGTCACCTAGTCACAATCACACTTTATCTCACAAGGTATGTAGCATCCTGACTGACAACAGGAACCTTATCTCATTCCGGTGTTTATTATTGTTGTTGTTATCGTTTCAGGATTCGATGGCGTTATCGCAAATGGGTGGAAGGCAAGTGCACACATTGTCCGCTTCCAGCCATCATCTTCATAGGCAGTCCGAGAAGCACGACGGTATGCTGAGGTGCGACGAAAAGTGGAACTCGTCCTCTTCGACGCTCGGCAGTCACGGCTCTTCGCAGGCCCTCCTCATCCAAACCATTCCGACTGAGAACAACAACGTGGCGAAATTCGCCGCTCCCCATCCTTTGGACAACACGCAGCAGCAGCAGCAGCCTGCACAGATCTCCAAGGACAAGGACCTGCCGACGCCCAGCTCGACGCCGACGACGTCTCGCAAAAGTCGGCGACGCTCCAACCTGTTCACGCCTTCAAAGAAGGCCGACGACAAGCTGAAGAACGGCGGCGACATAGGCGTCGGCAGGGCCATCCCCCTGAAGCAGGGCTACCTCTACAAGAGGAGCAGCAAGCCTTTAAACAAGGAGTGGAAGAAGAAGTACGTAACGCTGTGCGACGACGGCCGTCTCACCTACCATCCCAGCTTGCACGATTACATGGACGACGTCCACGGAAAAGAGATCTCATTGCAGTATGTTACCGTTAAAGTACCAGGACAGAAACCCAGAGGATCTAAAAGCATTATCACCGTTGCCCCTACCAATGGTCACACTATTAACGAAGGTATTGGAGGTCTTTCCATTGGTAATACATTGTTACTACTCTCACAAGGATAACATTATTAATTCAAACGATTTTACTTTTAGGCTCGAAGGATAAACGCTTAACGGAAAAGGTGTTGCTGACCGCTTTCGAAATGTCCAAAGATTCAGGCAAATGCAGTCAGGTCAGCGGCGATGAAGGAATGTTCAACAGCAATTCCTTCTTGAATGGAGACAGCCTCAAAACAGAAACGCCCAACGTCAAGAAAAGGCACAGGCGTATGAAGAGCAGTGGCGTCAAAAATGCAGAAAACGATGGTAAGTAACAATATTTTTAGTCTAAATATAGTTACAAATCTAATACTGATGTGTTCTTTTGTTAGACGGAGACGGTTACGAGTTCTACATAGTTTCGTTGGATAATAAGCAATGGAACTTTGAAGCAACGAGTTCGGAGGAACGTGACGAATGGGTTACCGCTATTGAGCAGCAGATTCTCAATTCGCTGCAGCTGAATGAATCCTCGAAGGCGAAGAAGCAGAACAATCCTTTGGAAGCGGAGACGATACAGACTATAAGGACGCGCGTGCCTGGCAACACCTACTGCGTGGATTGCGATGCTCCGAGTAAGTGATCATTAAGAAAATAAACATATATCGAAATATTGATATTAACAATTATCTCTTCCTTCAGATCCTGATTGGGCCAGTTTGAATTTGGGAGTCCTCATGTGCATCGAGTGCTCGGGTATTCATCGGAATCTTGGTTCGCACATATCCAAAGTTCGATCTTTGAATTTGGATGAATGGCCGTAAGTTGATTTATCTCAAATGATTTTCAAGTGATTTTAATTTGTGTTTTTGGTTTAGACCTGGTCATTTGAGTGTGATGTTGGCTGTGGGTAACAATCTGGCCAATTCGATTTTCGAGTACCGGACGCAGGGTGAGAGGAAGCCTGATCCTTCGTCGTCTAGGGAGGATAAAGAGCGATGGATACGCGCCAAATACGAGAACAAAGAGTTCCTGCCACCTCTGTGCAATATGATGTCTATAGAGCAGCAACTCATCGATTCGGTGTGCGCGTCCAACGTGAAGAGCATCGTGCAGATCCTGGCGCAGGCGACCACCGAGCAGGTCAACACGACGGTCGGACCACGCGACCTCCGCAGTCCCCTTCACCTGGCCTGCGCCATGGGCAACCTCGCCGTGGCTCAGCTCCTCATCTGGGTAAGTCTTTGAAAAACAAACCGCAACGAAGACAATTTACTAACTAAACTTCACCATCTGATCTTTGCAGCATAACGCGAACGTGAAAGCGATCGATCAGGACGGCAGGACGTGTCTGACGTACGCGAAGGCTGCCTACGGAATAGCAATTTCTAAGCAGCCCCAGCAAACTGGGAACAATAGTGCAAATAGCGATGCCTCTTTGGCGGCGTGCAAGAGCCTCATCGAGCTTCTGATCATCTCCGGTTGTCCGGAGACGACGTCCGTTCCCGGCAGCGGTACGCTGCCCCGGAGGAGAGGAAGCCAGGCCCTGCCGTCCTTCGAGAAGGTCACTTCTAGTGTAATTTAAGTACTCCGCAATACTAGCTGTTAATTTTTTTGTCGTACAGGTAAACAAGAATCATAATATGATAATTATAATTCTATATATATATATATTATATTCGATACATAAATATTGAAACAATCAGTAGTGGTTTTTAGACGAATGGTAACCTACTTCAATTATTGCTCTTTTTCGTTCTTCTCTCTTGATTATCTGAAGAAAACCCTCCCCTCCCGCCCTTGTTATTTCGAATGAAATCGTGAAAGCACACTCGATGTACTTATAAATATATATAAATATAGTTATTTATTGGATGTATCTCTTGCAAAAGTAATCACTAACTATGATGATGATGATGATGATGATAATGATGTTGATGATATATAAAAAAAAAATGATGTCAATTCCTGCACTGATTTATTTATAGTTGTAATAAATGACCACAGTGAGTATTAAGCGTAAGTGACTATATTATATACAAGTTTTATATATGTGTCTTCAATTACTCGTTCGAAGTTTTGTCATGATGTGATTTAATTTATTTATATATATATATTTTCCCTCCCTTATTTTTCATTTTTGTTTTTTGTTTTTTTTTAAATCGATTGTTTAACAAATTTATGATTTCCCTCCAATCAAATTACGTAAATTATTATTATTATATCTTGGCGTCGAATACAACAACAATTATACGAATTATTAGAAAAATTTTATATTTTATAAAACGCGAAATCCGATTCGCTTAGATTGTGTTGTTAATTATTATTATTACTATTATTATTATATATTTTTTCTTTTCGAAAGAGTCGAGCGGAGTTTCCAAAAAAAAAAACACAAAACA